GATGTATTGTAAGTGCGTTTAGATGTGATCTCATTGTTGTTGTAATTAGTGTATATACATAAATTAAGAAGATCTTTTATTTGTTCAAATTGTTTAATAAATGAATTCAATTTCGCAACTGTGCTCATCTTCACGTACGAAATGCATTTTGCTGTTGACAAAATGCATTTCGAATAACAGTTTCGATTCTGCTTGATTCACAACTGAACAATCACAAGAATGCATTGGAAAACTGTCGATTTAAAATGAATGGTTGAAGATGAAATTTTAATTTTTGCCTGCTTTGTCTATCGTTTCAACTAATTCCCAACTGTGGCAGATATTAGCAGTTTCAAGGGGAAACCCTTTAATGACGCGGTGAAAGAGTGATGTAACTCAGATAATAGTATTTGTGCCTAGTGTTGACTATGCATATCATCAGAAACTGCATTTATGTTATTGTGTGACATATATACCTATCGTGACGTTAATAATAATCATCTTGTTGAGGTCAACAATGATACTGATAATAGCGCCCTTAAAACGTTCGACAACAACTGATAAGAGTTAATGTTGATAAGGAAAGTGCCACAAATTTAGTGGACGTAAAGAGCAATCAGATGATTCCGTTAACATGATGCTATGTGTCGTCGAGATATTTTTCTTTGTTAATTTCATTTTATTCCAATCAGTCGGTTGTTCTTGGCCTTGGTCGCAATCATCATCCGATCTCACATTGCAAAAGCTCAGGTATTGCTTTGAAAAAACCTGTTTAATCTCAATTTATTGAATAGCAACTTGCATACGAAGTGCGGTTGAAATCAACAAATATTCATAGGTACTCATTGTCAGGAAAGTTTCATGTCGAAATCGCTGGAACGATACCTTGAAAGTTTTTGCCATCATCATAGATGCGCTCTCTGAAGTCGCATCTTTCCAGAAATTTTTGTGTTCTTTAGCAATAGATCAAATTTATGATTTCTCGTCACATATCCGTGAACAGTTTATGACGAAAGATATCCTCGTCTTATTTTACATCCATATCCTGGCATTGCATAAGCGTGAATCACTCAAAGTTTTTATCATNCCTACTGGTTGAGTATACTAACAATTGCCGCGAACGTTCGTGCATCATCACAGGAAGGAAAATCATTTTAAGGTGTCAATTTTTAGGATAACTTCAAATTTGCCTGAATATACGAGGATGTCCGAAGATTGTTTAACAGTGAATGTGTTCACAAATGCGAATTGTTTGCGCAACGGTGGATGTGCTGTTGTATACATGATACACGGCGGTGAATACAATTTCGATTCACCGATGCTGTTTCCGATAGATTTTTTGGTTTGTGTTCGTTTTCTTTGAATTTCACTTTCACTTTTTGAATACATTATCGCTTTGCATCGGCGCAAAACCAAATTAAACAAGACTGAAGTGATGATCATTTCGAATTCCAGGTCGACAATTTCACACCCGAAAATCGATCGGTGATTTTTGTGTCTGTCACGTATCGACTTGGATCATTCGGCTTCTTGAATATCAGTCCAAAACTGAAATCATCGGCCATAAAAAACGTTGGACTCCTCGGTAATTTCACGATTCAATTTGTCCTCACTGAACTTTTTGGCCAGTTTAGGAATGCGCATAACAATTGAAACTAATGCTGTGGCAATCGCCTTTATGATAACGTTGATAAGAAAGCCGTATTTTTAAAATATCTTCCCAATTGGTCAGAGTGCCATCAAGATGATCGTTGTCCTCCTTCAATTTTACAATGGAATATATTCCTGGCAAATTTTTCATTTTTTTCATTCTTCGACACATAGTCCATCAAATTCACAAAAGCGACAATTACTCGGAAGAAACAATTAGGAATGTGCAATAGGTTGACATGATTGAAGATGATGGAATGATTCTGCAGATATGATTGAGGGATTGCGATGGGTTCAGAAGGAGATATCGAATTTAGGTGGTGACCCGAAACGAGTTACATTGATGGGACACAGTAGTGGTGCCGTTAATGCTCAACAGGTAGGTGAATTTCTCGTAATCCATCCCTGTTTCCCTAACGTCCAGTGAAAAGTATTCCTGAAGCAGACAGACCTCATTGATTTTTGCCATAATGCCGTCAAAGTCGTGTTGTATTTAGGTGCTCTTGGTAGCTTTGTATGAAATTTCATTGCAGTATGCTCTCACACGACTAAAACGATATCATTCTATGAAATAAGTAGAGAATTTGCGCAGTTTGATCCATTTTCGATCATCAATATCTTACAATTTCAGCTGACCGTATCACCGTTGACGAAAGGATTATTCCATCAGGCAATTATAATGAGCGGATCACTAGGAATCCCCATACCACCGAGTGAGTGGATATCAGCACAAATGTTTCTAAGAAATTTCAGGTAATGTTGTCGTTGTGATGACGAACGTTAACAGTAAGCAAAAAATTTTCCAAGTCCAAGATCTGTCATATGAAGGCGTCCATTGATTACATCGCATCTCTCTTTTGTTGTATTTCGTCTCGTCCTCTCTCTCATTTGCGTCGTACTACCTTTTCATTACGCGTCTGCTCGGCTGCATTATTTCTTCTGGCGAATGCATTAAGGTGAACGTTATGACATAAGTTTTGGTTTATGATTTTGGTGGCCCTAAAGAGGGCCGTTGGGTTTAAGGTCCACTGTTCTTGCTGCATTTTATATGGGGTACATTTCTGCGATTTGCATCCACAAGTTGTATAAGCACTCTTCTCCTGCAAATTCTCTTTTCCAAACGAACTGCTCCACGTAGCTCGCCAACAGCCCAAGATCGGTGCCGAACCTTGACTGGGTAAATGGGTAAATA